AGGAATATACGGAGTCACTGCAACAAAAAGAATTGGTGACCAACAACCAATGGTACTGAGGGAAGAAGCTGAAGCCACACTAAAGGCGTTAGTGAAAAACAAGCCTTCAGCAACTGATAAGTGTCGATTGAGATGTTCCAACACATGGATACAACACTGGAAGTGCTCATGTGTCTACATCAAGAAGTCTGGAAAACAGCTACCTGGCCAACAAACTGGAAGAATCCATATTTGTATCCATTCCAAAAAAAAAAGGTGATCCAACAGAACGTGGAAGTTATCAAACATTATCATGTACATAGCAACATTATCATTTATATCACACACAAGTAAAATCTTGCTGAAGATAACTCAAAAACAAAAAGTTGCAGCACTATATTGACAGGAAACTTCCAGAAATTCAAGCTGGATTTAGAAGAGGACGTGGAACAAAGGATATCATTGCTCATGTCAGAAGGATCTTGGCTAAAAGCAAAGAATACCAAAAAGATGTTTATTTGTGTTTTATTGACTATGCAAAAGTATTCCACTGTTTGGATCATAACAAGTAATGGATAACATCGCCAAGGATGGGAATTCCAGAACACTTTATTGTGTTCATAAGGAACCTGTACGTAGACCAGGAGGCTGTCGTTCAAACAGAACAAGGGGAGACTCCGTGGTTTAAAATCAGGAAGGGTGTGCAGCAGGGTTGTATCCTTTCACCATACTTATTCCATCTGTATGCTGAGCAAATAAGCCGAGAAGCTGGACTATATGAAGAACATGGAATCAGGATCGAAAAGAAGACTCATTAACAATGTGGGATATGTAGATGACACAACGTTGTTTGCTGAAAGTGAAGATGACTTGAAGCACTTACAGATGAAGATTAAAGACTATGGTCTTCAGTGTGGATTATACCTCAATATAAAGAAAATGAAAATTCTCACAAATGGACCAATAAGCAACATCACGAAAATATTGAAGTTGTCAGGGATTTCATTTGATTTGGATCCAAAATCAACATCCATGAAAACAAGAATCAGGAAATCAGATGTCATATTGCACTGGGCAAACGTGCTGCAAAAGACTTCCATGGAGTGTCAGAGCAAACACATCACTTTGAAGACTTAAGATGTGCCTAACTCAAGCTGTGGTATCTTCAGTTGCCTCTGGCTGTTCAAAGCCACCAGCCACTCCACGGAAGGAAGGTTGGGCAATCTACTTCCATAGTGATACCGCCTTGGAAACCCAAGGAGGGACAACTATGAGTTGGATCTGACTCAAAGGCAGTGGGTTTACCTGTACGTGAAAGCTGGACAGAGAATAAAGAAGGCTGAAGAGTTGATGTTTTTGAGTTGTGGTGTTGGGGAAGCATACTGAAAATGCCATGGACTTCCAGAAGAATACACAAACCTGTCATAGAAAAAGTACAGCCCAAATGCTCCTTGGAAGCGGGAATGGCTCGATTTTGTCTCACCTACTGTGGTCGTGTTGTCAGAGGGACCATTCCCTGGAGAAGGATGTCATGCTTGGTAAACTGCAGGGTCTGTGAAAAAGGAGAAGACCCTCAATGAAATGGGTTGACTCAGTGGCTGCGACAACGGGCTCAAGTACAGCAAGGATTGTGGGGATGGCACAGGACCAGTGTTTTGTTCTGTTGTACATGATGGTACTCTGAGTCGGTAGCAACTTGACAGCACCTAACAACAACACAGAAAGCGGGGTTAATGTCTGGAAATACAATGTGAACAAAGGTTACAGCTAAAATGTGATAAAGTTTTTTTTTTTAAAGTAATCTTTATAGATAAGCTCTCATTGCAAATAAATCCTCCAAGTAAATTATGGACACCTATAAAATGTTTCCAGTTAATCTTTCTGAGTACAAGCTAAAGGTATGATATTTCTCTAATGATTCTTGATGTTAATTTTGCATATTTTGTTACTAATGTGTTTACTTTTTTCTGTCATTTTTATGTCATTTGGGGATATTAAGATTATTTTGAAACTGAAGTAATAAATACCTATATTTGTATAAAGATTTTTAAAAGTAGAGATCAAACCTAAAGTTCTCTGCTATAAAAAAAGACAAATCTGGGGAGGAAAAAAAAAAAACTTTTCATGGCATTTTCCCTTGTATCCTGCTTTTAGTAATCACACAAAATTTCTGTTAAACACTGGGTATCCTTCCCCAAAAGCGCCCTGGTGCATGACCATGCATAGAGTTAGCAGACAGTGTTTCTACACGTGCATTTGTAAGTGCTGTAAGAATGTCCAGGTGTATAGCAGAGCTGACAAGGTTGTGGTGGTTTCTTGGCCACAGCCAGCTATCCAGAGGGAGTGAGTAGTTGGACCTGTAGGCTGGGAACCATGGTTGCAGGGGACATCAAGCTCAACTGGCATAACATACTACACAAAACATTGTTCCACATCCTACTTTGGCGAGTAGCGCCTGAGATCTTATAAGCTTGCAGGAAGCCATCTAGATGCAACGATGGCTCTCTCCTCATCCAGAGCAAAGAAGAATGAAGAAAGCCAAAGATGCATGGAAACAATTAGTCCAAGTGACTGGTACACAATGTGATCCTAAGCCTATGTGACCATGAGACCAGAAGAACTAGATGATGCTCAGCTATCACTGTCAACTACTTGGAGGGGAATCCACACAGGAGATCCTAGATAGAGTGGGAGAACAATGTGGAAAAAAATTCAGAATCATAAAAAAAGACCAGATTTGCTGGTCTGACAGAGCCCGGTGAGACCCCTGAGACTATGGCCCCTAGTTACTCTTCAGGTCTGGAACTGTGACTTCCAGCCAAACAACAGACAGGCATATGGGGTGAACATTTACATCAGGTAGATACAGTCCTTGGAGAGATCAATCATGAGAGAATAGAAGGGCAGTGTTTGCACAGAGAGACAACTGGGGGCCAGAGTCCATGGGAGGGAAGGACACAGGGAAGAGGTAACAACGGGGGAGACAGTGGGAAGAGAGCTGTTACATTGTGGGGAATTGCAGTCTACGTCATGAGACAATGTATGAACTGCTGTATGGAAAATCAGTTCGCTCCGGAGATTTGCACCCAAACCACAATAAAAATTTATAAAAAAAAAAAGAAAGAAAAAAGAAAAACGCCTTGGTGGCGCGGCGGTTAAGCGCTCTCGAATCCGCCAGCCACTCCGAGGGAGAAGGATGAGGCAGCCTGCCTCACAAGCATCTACAACTTTGGAAACCCTACGGGGCAGTTCTCTGTCCTGCGGGTCACTGAGTTGGAACCAACTTGAGGGCAACGGCTTTGGTTGGTATCCTCCCTGGGGGATCATACTAACGCAAATGGAAGTTTAAAAAGACATCTTGTCTCACTCTGTCAAAAACATCTTCCATATTCGTCTCTCTAACCAACAGCACTTTATGACTCAGGCTAAGACCACCACCAAACCGTGCCATTGTGGCCTGTTCTCGAGAACGCAGGCCGACTGCGCTCAGCGTGTACAAGCCTGCAGTCAGCCCCCTCACCCCTTGCCGGCTTCACAACTTGCCGGGCCTTCCTCCACTGCCAGACCGCTGCAGTCACCGGGAAAGCGCCAGGGCCGACTTAGCATTCCGGAAACACCCGGGCAATTCCGAGGCCGAACTCAGCAGCCGCGGCTCCGCCCCGGAACTCGCCTGGCAGCCAAAGGCGAGGCTCTGCTGCCCCCAAGAGGCGCTCCATGGAAACGCAGTCACTGGAAGGAGATGGCGTGAGCAACCAGGCGGTGCAATGAGAACTGAGGGCCAGCGCTGACCAACTGCCTTATCTTCCCTATTTCGCAAGCTTTGACAGCATGCAGTCACCAGTTTTCTGTCGCCCTCCAGTGAGAAATATTTGAGTTTTCTTTCTCTGACAGGTTTCTGCCTTACACAGGTTACAGCTTTTGCGGGCTTTACTAAGAAAACTGTTACAACTCACCTGTCTAGTGTCATCTACCACTCAGATACAAAACCCACACGAAGCCAGAGCTGCCTGCAGAGCAAGATCAGCAAAAGCAAACAAGGAAAAAAATGGAGTCTCCGTCCCCTCCCTGTGCTCCAATTCTCAGTCATTCCCCAGGTTGCTGGGTGCACCCTCTCTCAAGATGCGTCAGGTGCTGAGAAACCTCGATTTCCTGCATCCAGTGCTGGGAGAGCAGGTCAACCTTGGGCACCCCACCTCTGGAACCAGGGCTTCGTTCTGGTTCAACACCCACTGAGAGTGTGTACTTCCACTCCAGATATACAGAATCAGAATCTACAATTTAACAAGCTTTCCAGGTGATAAGGGGAGCTCTGGTGGCATAGTGCCTAAGACACTTGACTGCTAACCAGAAGGTTGCCAGTTCAAACCCACCAGCCACTCCTCGGAAGGAAGAACGGGCAATCTACTTCTGTAGTGATACTGCCTAGGAAACCCAAGGAGGGGTCACTATGAGTTGGATCCAACTTGATGGCAGTGAGTTTGTTTGTTTTTCCAGGTGACACTCACTTCTACAGCAGGGCACCTGTGCTCATCCCACTCCTCTGCCAGAGAAAAGGCAACACGCATCCCCCTGACAAGACCTCACTCTTAAGCACATGCTGGAGAGTTGACTCAGGCTCAAAGTAACCGTACTCTGGTGGTGGTGTCAGTTGCAGGTGAGTCAATTCTGACTCACGCCACCCCATGTGTATCAGAGTAGAACTATGCTCTACAGAGTTTGCAAGACTGTGACCTGTATGAAGCAGATGGCCAGAACTTTCCTCCCAGGTGCCCCTGGGTGGGTTTGAACCACCAACTTTTTGGCTAGTAGTCAAGCACTTAACCATTTGTGCTACCCAGGTACTCCTAAGCTGCTCAAATGACTCAGATACCCGGTGGCTGTTCTAGGAACTGCTCTCTATCAGACAAAGCCATGGATCAGCAATGCTTGGGTTGCTAGTGCCTGCAACTCTTCTTCCTAGATGGGGTAGAAGTGAGAGTCTCACCTGTCACAGCCCGACAGTCCCTCTAGTGGGCCAGTACCTGCAGAGGGGCCGCATGCCGGCCTTGGCCTCTGGGGCACGGAGCCAGCAGTAAGTCCCAGGATCAAGGCCTGTACACTCTCCCTGCGGAGCCACTCCCGCAGCAGGGCTGCAGTGGGTGCGCTCCTGGAGCAGCTGCTGAAATCTGACCAATGGGAAGGGCCAGGTGTGCACCACCTCGTGCAACTTTCAGTGTGGATTACACCTCAACATAAGGAAAACAAAAGTCCTCACAAATGGATCAGTATGCAACATTACAATAAATGGAGAAAACAGTGAAGTCATTAAGGATTTCATTTTACTCAGATCCACAATCAATGCCCATGAACCAGTACTCAATAAATCAAACAATGGACTCCATTGGGCAAATCTGCTACAAAGGACATGTTTAAAGTGTTAAAAAGCAGTCACTTTGAAGATTAAGGTGCTCCTGATCCAAGCCATGGTATTTTTAATTGCTTCACATGCATGTGAAAGATGGACAATGAATAAGGACGAGCAAAGAATGGATGCCTTTGAATTGTGGTGTTGCTGGAATACTGAAAGTACTGCCAGAAGAACAAACAAATCTGTCCTGGAAGAAGTGGAGCAAGAGTGCTCCTTAGAAGTGAAAATGGCCAGACTCTGTCTCCCCTACTTTGGTCATGTTGTGAGACTGGTACCTGGAGAAAGATACCATATTTGGTTGGGTGGAGGGTCAAAGAAAAAGGGGCAGACCCTCAGCAAGATGGATTGACACAGGCTCACGCACAGCAAGGACTGTGAAGACGGTGCAGGACAGAAGTGTCTCACTCTGTCGTATGCAGCGTTACTACGAGCCGCAATCAGCTTGGTGGCGCCTAGCGACAACGACACGGACTGCTAGAAGAACAAACAATCTGTCCTGGAAGAAATGCAGCCAAAATGCTCCTTAGTGAGGACTGTGGGACTCCATCTCTTAGACTTTGGTCATGTTATCAAGAGGGACCAGTCCCTAGAGAAGACATCATGCTTGGAAAAATAAAGGGACAGTGTGGTAGTTCAGTTTGTGTGTCAACTTGGCTGGGCCTGGTTGAGTGGCTGGGCAGCCAGATGTAGTATTCCCCATGGTGAAGCTGGTCATCAACTCCATGGTGGAATCTACTGTGAGCAGCTGAGTAGCTAGCTGCCTTAGGGATATGGTCTGCTTCCTGTATATAAGGAGAAGCCTTGGCGAATGGTCTCTAGCTTATGGCACACTTGAACCCTGCATGTAGCCGTGTTGTTGTTCAGCAGCCTGCCATACTCTGATGACCTTGGGACTTTCAATGGAATTGAATTAATGGCCTGCCGTGTGGTTTGGTAACATCGGAACTGGGCCTTTTTACTTGTCAACCTTGGGCTTATCAGCCTCAGCAGCCAACAGCTGAGTGAAAAAAAGCCTCCAGCTTCAGTGGGCTGGGAGCAAGAGGCAGAGCTGAAGCCCAAGGCTGAGGGGCTTTCACCCAGCCCCTAGAATCTGGCACTTTGAACTTGGTCTTAAAGCCTCCAAACTGTAAGAGAATAAACCCCTGTTTCTTCAAGCCATCTCATTTGTCATGTATTCTTGTCAGAGAGGCAAGGAGGTAACCAAAACAGTCAGAAAGACCCTCAATGAGATGGACTGACACAGACGCTACACCAAGTTCAAACACAGCAACGACTGTCAGGAAGGCACAGGATCAGGCAGTGTTTCATTCTGTTACACATCAGGCTGCTATCAGTTAAAACGGACTCAATGGCACCTAACGACACCACCTCCTCCACACACCACGTAACTGGAAGTAGGACCTCAATGGCACCTAACGACACCACCTCCTCCACACACCACGTAACTGGAAGTAGGACCTCAATGGCACCTAGTGACACCACTTCCTCCACACACCACGTAACTGGAAGTAGGGCCTGTGAGTTCTGTGTGGCCGTTGTGATGGACTATCACACCCAGCAGAGAAGCAGAGCATGTGGTGGGAGGGTGGCGAGTGTCACAACTGGTAAAAGGGTTGGAGGGTTGGGTTTGTCTGACCTCCTTGTCATGGGAACCAGCTGTAGGCCAATCCTGGTCCTTCTTCCCTCTGAATTGGACAGGTTCTGACACTGTTACTGCCATTTTACAACATGCATAATTGGAATCCCAGAAGGATATAAGAGAGAATGGTGCAGAAAATAATTGAATAAATATGGCTAAAAAGAAGACCCTCGGTGAGGTGGATTGACACAGTGGATGCAACAATGGACTCAAATATGGTGACTAATCGGGAAGACGGCGCGGGGTGTGCACCGGGTCATGGTGACTGCTGTGAGGACGGCGCGGGGTGCGCACCGGGTCATGGTGACTATGGGGAGGACGGCGCGGGGTACGCACCGGGTTGTGGGGACTGCTGCGAGGACGGCGCGGGTGGGCACCGGGTCGTGGTGACTATCGGGAGGACGGCGTGGGGTGCGCAGTGGGTCATGGTGACTATGGGGAGGACGGCGCGGGGTGCGCACCGGGTTGTGGGGACTGCTGTGAGGACGGCGCGGGTGGGCACCGGGTCGTGGTGACTGCTGTGAGGACGGCGCGGGTGGGCACCGGGTCGTGGTGACTATCGGGAGGACGGCGTGGGGTGCGCAGTGGGTCATGGTGACTATGGGGAGGACGGCGCAGGGTGCGCACTGGGTTGTGGGGACTGCTGTGAGGACGGCGCGGGTGCGCAGCGGGTCATGGTGACTATCAGGAGGACGGCGTGGGGTGCGCACCGGGTCGTGGTGACTGCCGTGAGGACGGTGCGGGGTGCGCATAGGGTCCCAAAGGCAGCTAGCAACATATCATTTTATTTAAAGGCCCTGAGCATCTGCAGACGTGTCTGCAGGGGATTCTGAACCAATCCCCTGTGGATACCGATGGACAAGTATATACGAGACCAAAAGGCAAGGATCACTCCAAAGCAAAGAGAAGGTAAGTGTCAGGGAAACTAGAGTACTGGGAACAGAACATCCAGAACACAATCACAGAGAATACTGATACGTTATGGAAAATATAAGTAACGGTACTGAACAATTGGTGTGGAAATTATCAAATGGGAACCCAGGTTGTGTAAACCATCAGCAAAACACTATAAAATATTTTTCAAAAATGAAAGACTTCTGGCCTTCCTCTAGCTGCCATCTTGTGTCGCCGTGTGTGTGCACCTAATCTCAGCTGGTCTGCCAAAGACCCCCTGAGCACCAGTCCTAGGCCCCCACGTGGCCCTATCTCCACTCAGACAAAGTACAAAAAGGCTCTGGATGCCAGTGTGGCAGGAGGATGGGACCGGGGACAGGGAGCTCCTGAAAGGACTGAGACAGGGAAGGACAGGGCTGAGGGGAAGAAGGGATATGATGGACAGGCGCACCCACTCAGCCTGACTCTCGGGGGCGAGGTGGAGCCAGGGGCAGCTGCCCTGGGGTCGAGGCAATACCATGGAAGCCAAGGACAGGAGCCTGCAGTGAAATAAACTATCATGAATCAGCAGAAACTAGCCAAACTGCCTCACATGGGCGTACTTCTGGAAAAGGAACTGCTCGCAGACAGAAGGTGGTTCCAAGAACAGCCACAAATTCACAAATACCAAACTCACTGCCATCGAGTCAATCCCGACTCATAACAACCCCTCCTTGGCTTTCTGAGGTGCTATCACTACAGAAGTAAATTGCCCAGTCTTCCTTCCAAGGAGTGGCTGGTGGATTTGAGCCATCAGCCTTCTGGTTAGCAGTCAAGTGCCTTAGGCACTGCGCCACCAGAGCTCCCTATGTTGTTGTTGTTATGTGCCATGGAGTCGGACCCAACTCATAGCAACCCCTCCTTGGGTTTCCAAGGCAGTATCACTACAGAAGTAGATGGCCCCATCTTCCTTCCGAGGAGTGGCTGGTGGGTTTGAACCGCCAGCCTTCTGGTTAGCAGTCAAGTGCCTTAGCCACTACGCTACCAGAGCTCCCAAAAGCTCCCTATAGCAGATGATAAAAAACCTCAGTTCTCCTTAAAGAAACTGGGGGTAAACAATATCTCTGGTATGGAGAGGTGAACATGTTTATAATCAAGGAACAGTGATCCACTTTAACAAGCCTAAAGTTCAGGCATCTGGGGCAGCGAACACTTTTACCATGACCAGCCAGGCTGGGACAAAGCAGCTTAAACCAGCTTGGCGCAGCCTGCCTAGTCTCAGAAGGCTGGCTGAAGCTCTGCCCCAACAATCTGTGGATGGAAAAGCACCAGCTACTGGCGAAGATGGTGATGATGGTGCTCCTGATCTTGGGGAGAATTTTGATGAAGCTTCCTAGAATGAGGCCAATTGATTTGTCAGCTTCTGAAGAAAATAAACTTGAAGAAGTTACTTGGCACAGCTAGTTTATATTATGACTGCTTTTTAAAGGTGTTTTTTGTTTATGGATCTGATAAAAATCTAGATCTCATATTTTTAAGCCCAAGCCTTTTTGGACATTGTAGCTCTTTTCGGTTTTTGCTTATTCAGAATTCATTCTTTGCAGCCAATTGAGCTGAAGAAGCCTAGGAATATGATTTGAAACAAAGGTTAGTAAAGTTCTTTGTCTAGTAAATAAATAAATAAAGGTGTTTTCAGATAAGAGAACACCCAGAGAATTGGTTTTCCAGACCAGTGCCACAAGAAATGCCAGAGGTTCTTCAGGCTGAAGGGAGATGATACCAAATGAAAACTCAGACCCTCAGAGAGGAATGAAGCCCTCTGGAAAGGAGAGTTGATAGCGTGAATGCAAAACACTATTTTTCGGCCCTTTTCCTCTTTATTTTTCATAAGCAATATAACTGTTTAAAACAAAAATTATTGTTTTGTGGAGTTTCAAAATGTGTGTAGAGTATTATATGTGATAACATAAAGATGACCCATGGGTCGCAAGGTTTCTGTATTTTATGTTATGTGGTCCCTAATAAAGAGTGCATCTTGGCACAGTGGTTAAATCATCTGGCTGCTAACCAAAACGTCAGTGGTTTGAACCCACCAGCCACTCCGCAGGAGAAAGATGTGGCTGTCTGCTTCAGTGAATATTTACAGCCTTGGAGACTGTATGGGGCAGTTCTACTCTGTTCTATGGGGTCGCCATGCATCAGAATCGACTTGACAGCAGTAGTTTGGTTTTGGTTTAGTACATAACAAACTAAGTAGGCTCTGAAAACTTAATACATATACAGCAGTCCCCAGGATAACCACTACAGAAAATAATACAAAAAGAACACTTAAAAAGCAAACAGAAAAATTAAGATGGAGTTCTTAAAAACATAGGAATAAACCAAATAAAAGTAAGGGAGAGGAACAGAGAAACTAAGGAGACAAGTGTAAAATAAAACATTACTCACAAGATCCTTTCTGAACCATATCAATTAATTACATTAAGTATAAACAGGCCAAACCCTCCAGTTAAAAAACAAAGATTGACAAACCAAAACCAAGCCCACTGCCCTCGAGTTAATTCTGACTTATAGTGACACTAGTGGACATGGTAGAACTGCCCTTTAGGCTTTCCAAGACTGTCAATCTTTACAGAAGCAGACTGCCTCATCTTCTTCCATGGAGCAGCTAGTTGGCCTGAACCACCACCCTTTAGGTTAGCAGCCAAATGTTTTAACCTGTACGCCACCAGAGCGCCTTAAAGATTGACAGGATGGATAAAACAAACAAACAAACAAATTAGATCAAGCTGTATGGTGTCTACAAGACATGCATTTTAAGTATAAAGATACAGATAGGTTGAGATTAAGTAGATGGGAGAAGATATACCATGTTAACAGTAAGCATGAGGAGGCTGGGATTGCTGTGTTAATATCAGATAAAATATATTTCAGAAACAAAAGTACCAGAGATTCAGAAGACCCTCATAGTGATAACCACAAATATGTATGTGCCTGGTGTAACAGCTTCAAAATACATGAAGCAAAAATTGAAAAGGAAATGCACAGGAGAAAAGAATACATGAAAAGGTTATCACAGTGAGGAACTGGGAAGAGCTGTTACATTGTAGGGATCATAATCAATGTCATGAAATAAAATGTATATGGAATGTTCAACGGAAAACGAATTTACTCTGTAAACTTTTACCAAAATCACACACACAAAAAAAGGAATAAACCCCTCACCATCAAGTCAATTCCAACTCGTAGTGACCCTACAGGATAGAACAGAACTGCCTATTGGGCTTCCAAGACTGAATGTAGAGTAGCTAAAGCAGATGGAAGAAATGATGAAGTAAAAGATTTGAACAGAAGATTTCAAAGGGAAGCTTGAGAAGACAAAGTAAAGTATTATAATGAAATGTGTAACAAATACGGAGTTAGAAAACCAAAAGAACAGGCTAAGCATTTCTCAGCTGAAAGAACAGGAAAAAAAAAGTAAAGCCTCAAGCTGTAATACTGAAGGATTCTATGGGCAAAATATTGAATAATGTAGGAAACATCAAAAGAAGATAGAAGGAGTACACAGAGTCGCTCTACCAAAAAGAATTGGTTGATGTCCATCCATTTCAGGAGGCGGCATATGACCAAGAACCAATGGTACTGAAGGAAGACGTCCAAGATGCACTGAAAGAAGCAAAGAACAAGGCTCTAGGGACTAAGAGAAGACCCAGAGATGTTCCAACAAACAGATGCCATGCTGGAGGTGCCTGCTCACCTACACCAGGAGATCTGGAAGGCAGCCACCTGGCCAACTGACTGGAATAGATCCACATTTGTACCCTTTCCCGAGAAAGGTGATCCAACAGCATGTGGAAATTATCAAACAATATCATTAATATCACACACAAGTGAAATTTTGCTGAAGATAACTCAAAAAATGGTTGAAGCAGTATATTGACAGAAAACTGCCAGAAATGCAGCCTGGATTCAGAGAGGACGTGGAACAAGGGGTATCATTGCTCATGTCAGATGCATCTTGGCTGAAAGCAAAGAATACCAGAAAGATATTTACCTACGTTTTATTGACTATGCAAAGGCATTTGACTGTGTGGATTGTAACAAATTATGGATAATTTTATGGACAATGGGAACTCCAGAACACTTAATTGTACTCATGAGGATCCTGTACGTAGACCAGGAGACTGTCATTTGAACAGAACAAGGGGATATTGCATAGTTTAAAATCAGGAAGGGTGTGCATCAGGGTTGTGTCCTTTCACCACACTTATTCAGTCTGTACGCTGAGCAAATAATCTGAGAAGCTGGACTGTATGAAGAAGAACAGAGCATCAGGATTGGAGGAAGAATCATCAACAACCTGCGACATGCATATGACACAACCTTGCTTGCTGGAAGTGAAGATCACTTAAAGCACTTACTAATGAAGATCAAAGACTAAAATTTTCCTTATAGATTACACTTCACTGTAAAGAAAACAAAAATCCTCACAACTGGACCAATAAGCAGAATTATAATAAATGGAGAAAAGACTGAAGTTGCCAAAGATTTAGTTTTACTTGGATCCACATTTCATACCCATGGAAGCAGTAATCAAGAAATCAGATGTTGTATTGCATTGGGCAAATCTGCTGCAAACGACATCTATGGAGTGTTAAAGAGCCAAGATGTCACTTTGAAGACTAAGGTGCGCCTAACGCAAGCCATGGTATTTTCAATCACCTTACGTACATGTGAAAGCTGGACTTTGAACAAGGAAGACTGAAGAAGAATTGATACCTTTGAATTGGGATGTTGGCAAATAATACTGAAAATACCATGGTCTGTCATAATCATGAACTGTCACATACGAACAAATCTGTCTTGGAAGTGCAGCTAG